CTTCAATGTGCTATAATTTCTAGCTGCAATTATTGTGCTAAGACGACTATTCCTCAGACCATCAGAAAATCGTTTTATAGCTATCCGCTCGTTTATTGGCTTCAAAGTTTGGTAAAGATCAGTGTTTCCGTTGGCCTGAGTAATTGTCAGATCGACGAATAACTGTTCTAATTCCTTACCGTAATTCTCGATACTCTTGTCGTTCTGTTTCATATGCTGCATCTTGCTGTGGATCGCAGTATCGGATTTTTTTGGCAGTAAGATACTACGCATGTCTAGAATCAAATCTGCAACAGACGAATAAGTATGACGCATGCGCAGCTTAGCGCTTTCAGATAGCCGTGACTTTATAACAAATTGAATGAGTTGCTTTTTACCCGTATCATCTATCATAGACTCATACATCTCGATGTTTGAAATTAATTGTTTGGTGATATTCTCATCACCCGTCATTACTGGTAACAAAGCAATCGCAGTTTTCAATTCGAACTTTTCCATGGTGCTTTTCGTATCCTCTGTACTATCAGAACAAAGTTGAATTATTTTCGAATACAATTTATTTATATTATCAAATAAGTTTGTAATTATCTGAATTTCACTATCACTAATCTCTTTATTTTTTATTCGAATTTCAATAGCTATTTGTAAGGAACAAAATTGTTTATATAAAATATTTACTTCAGTTTGTTTTGCTCGTCTTACATTAATTGACCTTCTACTTGGACCTAACTTTGTAAGGTAATCATTAATATACTTCAATTTATCAAATATTTCTTTAACTTCACTAGCCATAACATCATTACATAAAGTTACGTATAATTATTATTATATTAATCATCATAATTACATACACACAAAAATATGACAAAATCATTTAAAATAACACACTAATATTACCTTATTTAATAAACTTTAAAATGCGAGTAAATATTTAACATATAAATGTTGTACCTTATACTTTTATCATTACCGTATCCATTTCCATGCCGTTTTACACTAATCGCACTTTATCTTGGGGTGACCGCACTTTTTATTATTTAATCACAACACTCACACCGGTGAAGGTCCTGTAGAAGTTGGAAAATTGGCCTCCCGTTGCTGATGACGGAACAAGCTCATCGACCTTCGCAGATTGAAGTCACGAACACCTCTCTCAATCCATTTTCCATGGCATTTCCTGTAGTAGCGCAATAGCCATATAACGCCTCCAATAATCAGTATAACGGCAATAGTGACCAACATATAAGTTATTACATGTGTATGCTGCAACATCTGTTCGGCCCCAGCCGAATTTTCTGCGCCGTTCTGTGCTATTATAACTTCCTGGGTCTTAGATTGTTGTTTGCCCATTTTGAAACTTGATTTTTAATTGAGGAACACGGGAAAAGTCACAAATTAAGTTCACAGTACACGAACCGTCACTTCGTAAGGTAATGAATAAAATTAGAGCCATCGTAATAAGTCTTTAAAACTGTCCAGAGCACTCAATGTTTATAATAACGTCTCCTTTTATGGGACATTCCACTGCGCTGGCAGGATCGCCATAAAGGTTCGATTCGGGAGAGAAATAGAACACGTCCAGTTAGCAACGAATATGATTTATTCCTCTCTTATAATTGATACTTACATTATTTAATATACTCTTAGAATCTAGGAATAGCATGACATCATTTCATAGGTTCCACTATACAATGAATTAAGGACAGGGTTCGCCTAATGATTTGGTAAATTTTTTCTAAAAGAAGGGGTGCAGACCAGGTGGGTCGACCGTAAAAAGTACATAAATTTGGGACCGAAGCAACAAAATCGAATAAAACCGTATAAGCCGAATGCATTCTAATGTTATATAGTTTTTCTGAAACGACAGAAAAATTTTGAATTTTTTCTTCAATAAAACTTGGAAAAGAGTCCTCAAAGACGGGTGCACCTAGGAGGCGAAGTGAACACTTATCAACCACCGAGATATTAGGCGCAAAAGTATTAAATTTTGTTATGGTCTGTCTGTCGGTAGAGTCATCTAAAAATATCTCAAACTTGGAAAAATTTAGGTCAAGGCCAATAGCATGAAGTTCGTTTTTTAAAAATATGAAATCATTTAATACTGTATCCGCATCGCCTCCCAGGGTACCGTCATCGAGGTACCAAACATTAAATTTGGAATTTAGCTGTCGAATAATAGGATTAATAGCCAGGCTAAAAATCACTGGTCCAAGGGGATCGCCTTGTTGATAGCCAACGGCTGATTCCAAATGGTTGTCCTGATATAATAATTTGGTAGGATGTCTATAACATTGCCAGAGAAAACTGAAAATTTGGGGTACTTCTTTTTTAACTTCTGTCAACGTAGTATCCCTATTGACCGAATTAAAGGCATTCTTTATGTCAACCTTAAGGATGATATCACCTTTCGTTGAATTCAGATAGGTCGACAACGCATGCACGGCAGCCTCGCAGCCCCCTCTCGATCCATACCCGAGTTGAAGGGGCTGGAATTTTTCCGAAAGGTGATTATTATAAAATTTGCAACAAATCTTGGCTGCCATGCGACGATAAGTTGTTCCCACGGCAATGGGACGAATACCGCCATCCTTCTTGCGAAGGGCACATAAATTGGCCCCGTACAAAACGTCGATGACAGATTCGTGCACATTGCCGGAGAGCATAAGATTGATCAAAACCGTAAGCTCCTTCAGCAGCGTCACGCCGGACTCCCCGGCGCTTGAGCTCGTCAGATCTTTGAGATGCTGCGGCGTCAAACCGTCGAGGCCTCCGGCAGAACCGGTCCGGAAGGAGCCTATGGCAGTGCCCACTTGTCGACCTGTAACAGATAGGGTATGAATATCTGCTTCTAGAGGATCCGGAAAAGAGAGACCATCTACTGGGGCCGGGTGTTTGCTCTCCAGAGCTTTAAGCGTATCTGGAGAACATGGGGCCCGTACGTCGTTGCTGAAAATAATCCTGGCTGCACCGCTAATATAACCTTTACCTATTTTGGCCTCAACTAAATCCGCTAAAGTTTTGGTTGAGGCATGGATGCAAGCCGGTAATTTTGGGTCGAATTGGGAATTTCTTTTTGACGTGTAAGATTTGGTAAGGGAAGGTGAGAAGTTGTTCCCAAGCGCGTAACGAGTTCTCTTGTGTTGCCAGACGGACATAATTTGCTAATTGTTGCGCAGCTAAAGGTCTGACACCACAGGGAACACGTTTAAGCACAGGGATAGATTTTTTAAATTTTGATAATCTTTTCCAAAAGGGGTCTGTCAAAATAGGAGGAGTAGTGTCGATAACGGGGCTGAATGTACTTTGAGATTTGTGAACACGTCCAATGTGTACATTCAGCCCTCGCTTACCTTTAAAAAAGCGAGCCTGGGAACATAGCGGGCATCTTTCCAGAGAATGCTGCGACGCCGAAGGGTGACTACCAAATACACCACAGTCCGCACTCGTAGTTGTGCCTGACATAGACTAAAAAAAGGAAAGAACATTTAAATTATACTAAATAAGAAAAAAAAAAATTCAGAATAATAAAATGTAAAAGTAAATAAATGAAATAAATTTAATTAATTAATTTATTTATTTAATTTATTTAAATATAATAAATATAAAAGTAAACAAATGTCGACCGCTTGACACGCTCCGGCGGCGTAGGGCGCCGCGCCACGCCGACGCGCTGCGCCGCGCCTCCACGCCGCCCATGCCCATAGAAAGCTAAAAAGCTTGTGTAGTTGCACTTAGCTGCACTTGTGTAAGGTTATTTTGTTTATTCCTGGTGGTGCCAAAATCCGATCAGTATCCGATTTTCCCCGGCCGGAAAACGTTCATACAGTTCATTTTTATACTAATTAGTTATTTTAATAAACTTTTAAGCAAACTTAAATACTTTGGATTCTAACATTTTTCAAGGCATTTCTTATAGAAAAATATATAGTTATTTTTACATATAGAGATCGTTAACAATATTACGTATCAATATTACATGATACCTAATATTAAATTTAATTATATTAAATTAATCTTCGTCAGAATTGCAATTAATGCAAATCAATGAGTAAACGTTTCCCGTTATACATCTAAAATGGACCCTCATTTTGCATTCTAAACTCTCTACCCACTCCTCTTTTCTAGAATTGCTGTAACTTTCGCTACACACTAAACAAAACCATTCATCAGTATCAGAATCTGAATCGGAAACCAAAATTTTTTTCTTCAACTTTTTTTTTTACTTCTTTGGTCATTTTCGAGGAATTTACCTTTAAAATTTCCTTTACATTTTCCTTTATTTTTGTCACATGTTTTTTTTTATCTGGGCCAGTGTTTTTTTCTTATTTTTGAAAGTGAAAAATTTTCAAATTTACTTTGTTTACCAGATGGACCTGGCATCGATTATTCTATTTCATTTTCTTTTTAAAAACTTGATGAATCTGGAGTCGGTAATATCGAGCCCTTACCGCCACTTTAGCGTAACCGACAAAAACCAAATTTTACAGGAGAAGGTTTTTTTTAAATATTTTTAATCAGAAGTGTGCTAATAACATGAAAAATGACATACGTTAATGATTTTTAGATATCTAAATATACGACTGAAAATAAAACAAAAATAATTAGTATTTAAGCGAATTATGGCGCTTACAATATTTTTGCTGTCACAGTATATAGATATTCGGGCGTTTACGATAAAATTACCTATCAAAATTACTATGTCCGAGAAATTGTAATTGTTAAAAAAATGCCATTTTAAAAGGTTTTTAAATGAAATATCCACATAATAATCAAAAAATATTTATTAATTTAGTAATCGTGAGGAACAATGAAATCAAATTAACTTATACATACTTATTACTAAGATTATAAAATGAAATGAGAAATTTCTTCTTGTACAAATCAATTAACGCCACTTCAATAAGTGAATCACGATTAAATAATCGTGGTTTTAAATCAAAATATTATGTAGGTATAATATTATTAAAAATAAAGATATTCTAGAAAAACATTTGAGAACTTCAATTCTCCTTATCTGAGTCATCTTCATCCGTTTCAGGTAAAGTGTCACGTATGGTTTCATTATGCCTCAAACTCAAGTATTCTTCATGGTATCTGTTTGGTATTACATTTTTGTTACATAGCTCCTTTAGATCTTTGTATTTAGCTGCTGAAATACTGAGCTCGTTGTCGTATAAGGGTGCGGGTCCTTTTTGTACAATAGCATTGCTTGCTCTTGATCTTATGACGAAGTCCAAGTTAAGTGTATTATGTTCACAATCTTCGGAAAATCCATATTTGAATAAAACAACAGGATTATTTTTGTGAAAATGCACCACTCTCAACGAATTAAAATTTATTTTGAATTTGGCTGGTAATAAAGCTTGTGAATAGGACTTCCAATCCTTAAAGTCTCCATAATTTAAAACATTTACTACGTAGCCTTTAGGGTTAGATCTGGCATTAGTAATCATAGTCGGCCATTCAGATGGAGCCCATACTGTTCTATTACGAACAAAACTTTCAATGGTGCTGTGAATAGAATCAACAGGCATCATGGTGTGTCCAGGTAAAAGATAAGTAATCTTTATTTGAGTAATATTTTTTGCAGTTTTCAAAAAATAAATTAACATGGATATCATAGCACGATTTCTATTTTGCCCAGCACAACTGTCAGAATATAAATTGACGATAGTATGGGTACCTTTTTGATCTAACATATTCAAATAATTAAAAAGAACTGTAACTATTTCATTACAGCCTCTTTTTCCCTGGCTTTCACCCCACACATAACAATATCCATTCCTTGTGCCACTTTCATAGATACTTTCATTGTAATATGCGTATTTTCTTGAGTAATATAAGGTCACACTCTTACCATGTGGCGTATTCAGGACTTTTTGTAAATCAAAGCTCACGCATAAGGCGTTAGAATCCGCTATTTTGGAAATTTTTTGATCTTCTAAAAACAGTAGCTTGCATTTTTCTTTATCCAGCATGTGATTTTTATATTCAATGGTTTGTTCAAAAATTGGTTTGTTTTCAGATGGCAAATTTTTGTATTTCTCACAAAACATACATTTATCTTTTTTAGGCAAATGAAATCCGATATTAAAATCTGTTTTGAATATATGACGAAATACTCTTTTTGATAAAATGGATGATTCTAGATTATTTTCTTTCAAATGTTGAACATACAGTGTATACAAAAACGATAGGTTCTGAAACTCTTGAGGTAAATAGACTTTTGTGCTTTTATTGCGACAATAATGGGATGGAACTGCGGGCAACATCTCAATAAACGATTTTATCTGTGCAACTTCCACTTCACCAGCTTTATTATGAGGATGACGGGTTCTGCTGCCTTCTAGAGTGGTATTCAAAATGGTATTGGCATTTTCAAGGGTGTATCTCAAAGACATTTGGGATATGTTTAGGGTCTTAAGCAAAAATTGTTGACATACTTTAATACTCGTCCATTGTAGTTTATAAAATAATCATATGATTTTGTGCGAATATTACTATTAGCTCTTTTTCTGCCAATTGGTTTCTCCTTAGCACATGACAATAGAAAATCTTTCTGTCTTTTAGCACAACCTAATCCCCAATAGTTTTCAAAAATATTAGTACGATCGTCTTCAGTAAATTTACTTGCACATGAATTACCGCATCTTTTATTCATGCAAGGATTAGGTTGAACAGATTTCCCCATAGCCGCACTGCGATTTTTTTTTGATAATAGACGTTTTGGTAAAGGTTTTATTTTCCTATATCCTCTTTTACCAACACTCGTTTCTTCTTCAATTTGTTGAGCTGACTCATCTTCATCTGAACCACTAGACGATGAGGCTGGCTTCCATGAATCTTCACTATCAATGTAATCACTAACGTTGTGGGACTCGAAGGACTTCCTTAACACGTTTTGCTCTTGTTGGTCAGACAGTGAACTGGTGCTAGGCTCTATTAATCGATTAAAGAAAGTTGACATAGCAGGGTCCTCTAAATTAGTTTGGCCATTTTTTGTTATGTCTACATGTGGTATTTCATTTTGATTATCTAAATCCATTAGAGTGTAAGAATTGTCAGTATCAGAATCGCTGTACTCAACAAGTTTAGTTGAAGGCTATTTTATTGCAAATTTTATTGAAAAAAATATTTTTTTTTTTTATACTTTTCATTTTTTTTAATATTATTTCCAAATTTTTATATACTATAAAAACATTTTTATCAGAACATTACTTGTACTATTATGGCATCGATTGGTGAATGTTCTGGATGTCGCAACGTTCTCGGCGACGAACCCTATCTTGGATGTTTTAGCTGTAGGGCGAAATATGACCTTGTCTGTGCAAATATGACCTCCAACGGTTATAAGCAAATGAACGCTAACCAAAAAGCGTCATGGAAATGCCCTGAATGTTGCTGCAAGGAGCCAAAAATAGGCAACGTTAACACTCCTGTGCGTTCGACTCAATGCTCGATCACAAAGAGTCAAGAAGAGGATGTACAGGGGCAATCTAATGTCACTGTACGCAAAAGGCCCACAAAATCGCCGCTGAAATCGTCGCAGAGGCCGCTGCATAAGCAGGTGCAGAAATTACCACCAAAACTATCGCAGAAAGCGGCAGCGCAATCTTCCCAAAAGTCGCCGCCAAAATTGCAGTTGCAGTCAACTCTTGGGCCGCCGCAACCTCAGCTCTTGGAACCTAGTAGTCCTGTCACTGAAAATGCTACGCTAAATCTCAATATCAAAAAAATTGTAGCGGCTGAGCTCAAGAGTGTTATCGATACAATGAATAGTTTCAGAAACTCTCTAGAATTTGTGAATAAAAAGTATGAAGAGATGAAATCTAAATACGAAAATGCAATTGCAACTGTCACCGAGCTAAGACATGATAACGAATGTTTAAAAACTACCATCAGAGATCTCACTACCCGAGTCAACGTCGCTGAGTTGCATATGAGGGACTCAAACATTGAAATAAATGGTATCCCGGAAAGTAGATCTGAGAATCTGGTCACCACCGTCATTCAGCTATCCAAGGTCATCGAAAACCCGCTCACTAAAGAAGACATTAACCATGCTGTCAGAGTGGCTAAAATCAGCAATGACAATCCACGTCCTCGACCAGTGATTGTTAAGTTGCGTAACCCTCGTTCCCGTGACGACATCCTGGCAGCGGTCAGCAAATTTAATAGGAAAAATACCGAGAAGAGGCTTTGCACACAGCATCTTGGAATAGGAGGAACTGTCGGTCCTATCTACGTTTCGGAACATTTAAGTCCGACTCTGAAATCACTTCACGCTGCAACTCGTATTAAAGCCCGGGAAATGTGTTATAAATTTGTCTGGGTTCGTAATGGTCGGATCTTCGTTAGAAAAGCAGTGGAACACCAAGCTATTGTAATTAAAAATATTGATAGTCTTAAGCTCTTAGTATAAGTTTGTTAATGTATTATAGGAACTAATTTGTATTCTTGATGATCACAATGCTTGACATATACTACCAGAATGTACAAGGCCTTAGAACTAAGACTAATGAAGTGTCGGAGAATATTCTGATGTCGAATTATAAGGTTATCGCCTTCACTGAAACTTGGCTCAAATCAAGTATTTCTGACGGCGAATTGATCGACGATAGGTACGTGATCTATCGGAGGGACCGAACAAGTAGTGATAACTCTAAGAGGGAAGGCGGCGGGGTGCTTTTAGCCGTTTCCAAGGACTTACCGTCTGTTCGTGTCAGGGAGTGGGAGACGGGTCTGGAGGACTTGTGGGTCACCCTGCAAATTCATACTAGCTCATGTACAAGAAAGCTTGCTGTATGTGTCGTATATCTTCCTCCACCAGTTAAAACTGAAACTCTTGCGTCCTTCTTGGATGGCGCAGATAATATTGTCAATCGTGCAGATGATGTTGTGATCCTGGGTGATTTCAACTTGGGGTTTATTAACTGGAACCCTGGGGAAGGAGGTTATGGTATGTTGCCCTCAAACCATAATTCCCCTTTGGGACATTCTATTACTGACTTTATTTTCATTAACAATCTTTTTCAAGTCAATGGGATTACAAACTGCGACAACAGGTGCTTGGATTTGATTATTACAAGCTGCCAAGATGCTTATGTTGTGCGACCCTCGAGCGAGCTGAGTAAATGCTACAAGCAGCATCCTAATCTACAGTTGAATCTGCCTTATAATAAAATTATCTACCTTAAGCCCAAACGTAAACCTAGATATAATTTCTACAGGGCAGATTATTCATCTGTAATAAAAAATCTAAGAGGTGTTGACTGGCAAACGGAGTTCTCGAGCTGTGAGGGGGTTGACTCAATGGTACAAAAATTCTATCTAGTATTGACTGATCTCATAGACGAATTTGTGCCGAAACCAACGATCCATAAATCTAAGTTTCCTTCATGGTTCAGTACCTCGCTTATCAAATTGTTACGCGAAAAGGAAAAAATACGGAAAAGATTCAAAAAATATGGAAACCCCAGAGACGAAATTGAATACCACCTGCTTCGTACTAGATGTCACACAATATACGATAGATGCTTCTCTGAATACAAAAACAATATCGAAGCTAACATCCCAAAAAAACCTAAACTCTTCTGGAGTTATATTAAACATAAAAGAGGAGGCAAATCATCAATACCTGCAACAATGAATTTAAAAGACCAGGTCGGAAACACAGGCCCTGAAATAGTTAATCTATTTGCAGAACATTTTGCCTCGATCTACTCGTCCGGCTCGGCTCCTTCGGATGCTACTTTGCTTGCGACTCCGTGTCACGCGTCCTTACAACGGAGTTTGCATTTGCTCACGATAAAGGAGTTTGAGGTGCTTAAAGCGATTAAAAAAATTGACGCTGCGAAGGGTGCCGGCCCGGATGCGATTCCGCCGGTGTTTGTGAAAAGATGTGGTTCTGCGTTGGCTTTGCCTCTGACCTTAGTGTTCAATCGATCATTAGCAGATGGGACATTTCCGTCGGAGTGGAAAAGGGCACGCATTGTTCCGGTCTTTAAGAAAGGGGAAAATTCTGACGTTCAAAACTATCGTCCTATTTCCATTCTGTCCTGCTTTTCCAAGCTATTTGAGTCGATTGTTTATCCCGTGATCTGTCGGCTTGTGGATGACAGCATCTCAGATTCACAGCATGGTTTTAGACGTGGTCGCTCAGTCGTCACAAACCTGGTCCCTTACATTTCTAATATATCCAATGAAGTTGACTCGGGCAGGCAGGTTGACGCCATCTACACTGACTTTAGCAGTGCCTTTGATAAAGTTAACCACTCCGTTCTTCTGAGGAAATTGTATGGATTGGGTGTGGATGGGGCACTTTTGAAATGGTTTGAGTCCTATCTAGAGCAAAGACCTCAGTCAGTGGCTGTCAACGGATTTAACTCAAATATCTATTTTGCCGATACTGGTGTTCCTCAGGGATCGCATTTGGGACCTCTTCTGTTTGTAATCTTCATTAACGACATAGTTGAAAAAGTAAGACACTGCAAGGTGTCACTGTTTGCCGATGACCTCAAAATATATAAAACCATATATTCCGTTGGTGACTCTCGTCAACTACAGGTTGACCTGGACGCGATACTGGACTGGTGTCTCGTCAATGGTATGAATCTTAATGCCAGTAAATGTTTTCATATCAAATTTACAAGAAAAAGGAAGCCAATAGCAACGGAATACATGCTTGGTGATACAGCATTAGTGGAGGTCAACGAAATCCGGGATCTTGGCGTGATAGTTGATAGTCAGCTTAGGTTCACCTCACACATTGACAAATCTGTCACAAAGGCAGCTCAAATGCTCGGATTTTTAAGACGGAACTCGACCGGATTTAAACATCAGCGCACTAAAATCTTGCTTTACCAATCCTTGGTCCGTAGTCATCTTGAGTTCGCCAGTGTTGTGTGGAGTCCGTTTTATGCTGTGCATTCGCAGCGCATTGAGAGTATACAGAGAGCGTTCACTAGACACCTTGCTTATAACACTGGTGGATTTTCTCACAGGAATCCCTATAAAGAGCGCTTGATTAGGTTTCGAATGCATTCTCTTCGCGAGCGAAGACTTTTGCTGGACATGACCTTCTTACACAAAATCATAGGTGGTCATTACCGGTGTAGCTATTTTCTGGAGAGCATGCCTCTGCGTGTTCCGCGTGTCTATCCTCGAGGAAAACTTAAATACATTTTCAACATTCCACCGGTAAAGTCTAATTTGGGACGGCAGGCACCTCTCCGTAGAATAATTGATGAATACCACTCCCTTATCTCAACAATACCCGATCTTGATGTGTTCCACGATGGATTAAGAGTATTTAGAGGCAGGATTATTGATGCACTATAGTATCGTTTGTTATTGTTGTTGTTGGTGCTGCTTGCTGCTTTGTACTTTGGCATCTGTTTTAGACTCTGACATTTCTTTAAATCATTGAAATTATTTTGATTCTCATTTAATTTAATTTAATTGACATTTCTTTGAAATCTTGACGATAATTTGACATTTTATTATATTATATTTGTATTAAATTATTATTATTAGACTTAATATGGCATAGATACAGTCCGCGCGCGAGCTCCGAGGAATGTTAAGGAATGTTGACGTAATGAGCTAGAGTTGTGAATTAGTCGATATTGTGCTATCGATACTAACACATCTTAAGTCTCCGCGCGAGTGTAAATTAAGAAATAATTCTATGAGGGTAATATGTATTTGAAATAAAATAAAACAATTGTATCACGTATGTATTTAATTTAATGAACTGATACTTAATGAACAAATAGAACGTAAAATCCAATTAATCACTGTCGAAATCAGAATTATCAGTACTTGAAGAATTTGATGTACTATCGTCACTCTCCTCACGTACTTCAATAATAAATGAGTCGACAACATCCTCCATTAAGCCATCCTTTTTCCAGTAATGTTCCTCTAATGCTAAGACATGTTTATCATATCCACACCAATCTGCTGTTGTGACTTGCGTGATAGCATTTTCGGTAACCTCCTTCAGTCTCACCAGAGAAAAATCAGAAGTAATGTTATGTTCCC